ATAACACTCCATAACTTAACTGACTGCCGATACCTAATAATTTGCCTATAGAATAAGTGGACTGGTAAGCACTGGGCACAGAGTTAGTACAAAATTCGTCTTTTGTTCTTCTTTTTTGTTGTTTTCTCTTTATCCACTTTTACCATATATTTTACAAAACTCATAGGTCAGGGTCTAGAGCATCTGAATCTTTATATCTATCTCAATTTGAAGCATAATTTCAATAAGTACATTAAAGAACCGGCTAATCTAATAATTCTATCCAAGTGAGTTCGTGGTTTGACCGCTATAACGACTAAAACTAGACTCAAGACGATTGTAACTGAAGATTTTCCAAGCAGAATTATAGGAAGTGGTATTCAAAAAAGATTGAAAAACTTTTGATTACTTAGATGAAAATAATAATAGGTCGGGGAAAAAGTTTCTTCGTATTTTATATAAGTATTAAAGTAATGAAAAATCTATTAGTTGGTTGTAATGTTTGTATCTGGCTGATTTTAAAATCAATACATATAAGACATTAAGAAAAATAAAAATAAAAAGTAAAAAACATTTTCCCGCCATTTTTCAATTGTTTTTCTGTCCGCCAAAATAAGTGTATCTAAGGAAGAAAGGACATTGTTCTGCGTCCATACAATGTTCGCCTAAGAACCAACAGTAACAAAAAATACCTTTTTAAGTCCGAAATTATACATAATTGTATGTAAGAACAATAACTCTTGACGGACACTTCCGAAAACAGAGGTATTAGCAGTTATCGTAGAGATTTTGAGGTTATCTTTTATTTTTAGGAATATTACTATGTTATTGCTAATGTAAGCAGTTCAGTCTTAGCCTAACACTTATACGGTAAATAAAACTCAGGTTGTGATTAGGTATTTGTTTCATTCATACCAATTAAATACAATTTATACACTCATTTGGTAACCAAAGTAATGATTGATACTATCAACCATCATTACTTTTGAGCAAAATATTATTCAAGAATTGAGCAGGGGGTTGATATTTTCTTGGTATCGGGCCCAACTTAAATACCATATTATGGTCATAACATGGGCGCAGCAAGCTATTCTGGGCCCAACAACACAATTACAACGATATTTTTTATTGCCTCCCTCCATATTTCTGACTCATCACCAAAATGTAAACAAAATAAGTTTTACTACTACTAATATGGCGGCTATGTATTCTCCCTCTCAAGAGCCATACATTTTCAGAATGTAGTAAATGTAATTCACTAATAAGTAATCAACTCCTGTTCGACCTCCATGCAAACTTCAACAACATAATTACCGATCGCACGTCTGACGCCTATCTATTTTATCATCTTGTCATCTGTTAACATAACATTTTTTTGCGTGGCACAATGTTGATTGGCCAATGAGATTACAATAGTATTGTTATTTTTAATGAATACACATGATTTTACTACATTGGAATAGATAGATTTTACAGTTCCTTGTGGTATACTAATCTTAGGTATATTTTAAATTATTAACGTTTTCATAATATATTTGAGATTATGACAACTTTTGAAATACTGTTAAATGTAAGAGGTATTGTGCGATTGGCCAATTCACAGGAGTCCAGACGCAGCAAATTAATAAAAAATACGTACAAAGCTTAAAATCTAAAAAGTCCTTTTTATTTTGACTCCATAATTCAGAAGTGTCCGTTACTATCTAATGAATGTTATCTAATGCATTATTAAGGATAAGAATTTTAGTAATTGTCAAATTTATGTTGGTTCTTAGGCGAGATTTAAGAATGTCCTTTGACACATTCTGAAGTTTTGTTAATTTTGATGTCCAAAATGCAGCTCACTCTGGTCGCCCTCATACGGATAAAGTTGATACCATTTTTGAAAAAGTGAAGCTAGATTGGCATATTAGTAGTTAAGATATAGCCGAAGAATTGAAGATTGACCGCAAAATAGTTTTGACCCATTTGAAAAAGTCTGGCTGTACAAAAAAAAACTCAACTCGATATTTGGGTACCACACGAGCTCCCTGAAATACCTAATGAATCGTTTACTCATTTGCGATTCACTTTTGAAACCTAATGAAACTGTCGTTCAGTTTTTTGAAAAGATTGATCAATGGTGACCAAAAATGGACAAGAATGTACGAAAAAGATCATGGTCAAAGGGTAGTCAAGCTCAAGATTACAGACTATAGCGAAACCCGGATCAACACGCAATAAGGTGCTGTGTGTATGGTGAAATGGTAGGGAATCATTTATTATGAGCATATACTGCCAGGCAAAACCATCGATTGGGATCTCTACTGCCAACAACTAATAAGACTCAAGCAAGAAATTAAGAAAAAACGGCCGGAATGGATTAACAGAAAAGGGTTCGTCTTTCATCATAATAACTCCAATCCACACACATCTTTGGCCACTCAGCGAAAATTGACAGAGCTTGTTTAGGAAGTGTTAATGCATCCACCATATAGTCCTGACATTGCAAGCTCAGATTTTTACCTGCTTCGGTATCTTCATAATTCATTGGGTAGTGTTAGATTACAAACATGGCATGGCAAAACTACACAGATTACCTACTAGTTATCTGTGCAAAACTATAAGGATTCCTTGTTGTTCAATTACGGAGCCCCAAAAACTTATAAAACACAATGTAGTCGAACAATTTGTTTCATGTTGGCTTATAGAATTTAAAAAAAGTAACAACAGTCATAAAAGTTTTATTGTTTGTTCAAAGTATCCCTATTCCCTATCCGAAGAATGTTAAAAACGGACACGGGCTGCAATGTTCAGTCGAGTCAACTCTCACGTACTCGTACTTTTAGCTTTTACTTTTTTCTATAAATTCTTTTTGACCCTCGAGTTATTTATTATTTCCGACGCCAACCAACTCTTATGAATATGAGTGGTTAAACTACTCTTCCATACTTGTGTCATATAGTTTATAAGTTAAGTGAACATTTAGATTCAATAGTTTTTAGACTGTGAAAGGCTTGAAAGTGGCTTATAATTGTTTGTGTTACACTGACGGTAGGTCGCCATTTTTGTTCCCGAACATGGCAGTATATCACTGCAGTATGTCTAAATATGGCGCTTCAAAATGATAATTAACATAAGGCTTGAAACATTTACGATAAGCTTAATAATAATGTGCGAGACCTCTCCGCTATAACCGTAGTAAATGGTATGTGTACGATATATTACTTTCCTCTATGGGTATGTGGAAGTTATTAGGGACTAAAATATTAAAAGGCAACGCCTTACCGCATTTCTTTATACTCGACAACGACGAACGGACATACCTGCACTTTCTACATGTGGCGTTGAATGTGGAATGTGAGTTTTTAAAAAGCTTAGCATAACCATTGATATCTATCTATATTTAAAATATCAATGAGCATAGCATTAATTTTTGTGATGACTACGAATATATTTACAATAAATACAAACAATTATATTTATGTTTGTAAGCTTTGATGAGATTTAAAATGTTTAATTATCTGTTAGTTTAAAAGTAAAAAAGAAAATAAAGTTCTTTTTTTTTAACTTGCAAACAGATTGACAAAACTTGCTTACGATGATGTCTGTGTCCCAACTCCCAACATACAGAAGAACACAAGAAAGTTGATTTTTGTAATCTAAAATGAGACAATCTTTGGTGACGCCTATGTTCAGGAGTGTATTTATATAGGCTTATATTAGGGTTGCCAGGTCTCTTTAGTCTTAGTATAACACGACATTTAAAAAAAAAGTTGAACAAGGCTTTTTTTATCATTAAATTACCATAAAATCTTATATTCTAATGAAAAAACAAGAACATGAATGAATCAATCTTCTTTATTATTAATCATTCAATATTCATTACAATATTAATTTTAATAATTGTAATAGTATGTATGTGATAAATGTAAAAAATTGTCAAATTTAGAAAGCCTAACAATAGCCGGACAGGCCGGACACCGATTTGGCCGCACACGCAACCAAAAAGCCCGACTGTGTCCGGCTTTATCCACACGCCTGGCAACGCTAACTGATATTGAATAAATAAATAAAAAATTAATTTCATTTAATTTTTGTAAAGAGGTTGCCCACAAAATTTTAATGCTTTTAATTTTTAGCAATACAAACAAAAGAGATACATTTTCAATAATTAAGTTAATATAAGAAATTCAAACTTTTAAAAATAAAAGCCTTGCTTCTGAATATGTTCTTTAATTTTTGGATACACTGTCTAATCGCGTTTCAGTTTTTTTTTACCCTTTGAATGTTTAAATTGAATATGATAATTAGGAATATTATAAGTTCAAGGTAACGACTAAAACGTTCTCTAAATAAAGTAAGTACTTTAAGGTTCATCCTGTATTCTTTCACCTTAGGGTGAAAGAATACAGGATGGAATTTTATTTTCAAATTAATTTGGGACCACCATTAAATTAACCTATGCAATAAAAAATATTTATACCGGTTTAGCCTTTTCCGTACATACCTACATAAAAAAACATACGCGTCGATTAAAGAACTTCCTCGTTTTTATGAATTTACTTAAAAATGTAAATAATATATTTCTTGCCGGATAGCACAACTTTATCGTGAAAATTCACCAAAACAACTATTTATAATATCACCTCTGTTTTCTCATTGTCACTGTTAGACAAAAATAAATCAAAACCTTGCAACCGTTGACAAAGATAAGCTTACCTATACTCTAGCATTTTATCTATATTAATATCACAAACATAAAAATATCAATTTTTATGTCAAAAAGTAACTGTAAATACAAGTTAAATACAAGTAAGAAAAAATAAGTTTATTAAGTAAATAACCTTTTTAATAAAGAGTTAATTTACCTTCAGAAAAAAAATTGTCAATGCTAGCAGCTAAGTGCTATTTTCTAACGCATATTTACATAATTAAATTAAAATTTTATAATTTTTACAAATCGGAATCATAATTTTATAATTACTATTATGCAACTGTCCATGTAGCGTTGTGTTCATTAACAAATTGATTTAATTTACCTTCTTCATCAATACCGGCATTTGATGCTCCAATGACATTTTAATTTCTGATGAACTGAAGTCCTCACTATTTGGTTCACACATACGATCCATCTATCACAGTTACATTAAATCCTGTTTTTGCACTACGAATTATAGTCTACTCATTAATTTAAACACATTATTCTTACAAGGCACTTATAACTGTCACCCGTTCGTAGCGAAGTAAAAAATCAACGTTCTGACTACAGGTCATTCGATGAATCGAGGTTAGGGGTTTTGGTAGGAGAGAGTAGCATAGCAAAACGTGCGCGCGGCCACACCGTACCAACGCGAGACGCGAATGAAAGAAATCGCTTATCGTCATCACCGAACGCAGCCAGCAGCGCTTACTATACTTAGAACAATTTTGTAATTATATTTAATGTGTGTCACATTTAATTTATATTTAATGTATTTGTTTCAAAAATAATCGATTTGATAGATATGGCTACGTATATAAATAATAACGATATAGTTAACAAAAATAAACAGGCACGTCGGCGATGCGTGAAGCGCACGCATCTAGCAAGTGATGTGGCGCCTGGTGGCGCCCTAGAGAATAATCTGTACTACCAATATCAACTATAACCGACTATAATAATAACCTCGGTAATTAAATCGTAAAAGAAATATGCTCATGAAATAAAGATCAGCTATGCACTGTAAATACTATTTTAATTTCTACTATCTTCATATTTAATTGATTAATTTCAGTTCAATGAAATTATAATTGCTCTACACCCACTTTTTATAAATAAAACAGTTCGACTCACACATTATATTAAACTGTAATCTTCATTGCATATGAAAGAAACCTTGACAGAATTCCAGCGTAAAATGGTGAGTGTAGAGATCCGCAGACCCTTTTTATTGGAACTTCGAATTCGAAACGCGGATTCCATTTTAACCCTCAGGGGTGGCTACGCATATACATTTTGATTCTTAATCGAGTATAAATCTATGGTCCACAACATTCACTTACCATCCGGTGGATTGACTGTATGCTCGTTGGTCACTCATATTCTATAAAACATCAATTTAATTAGACAAAACCTATTGAAGTTTATTTACAAAGTTTCCACGATTAAAGGGTGACACACATAATTATGTAAAGATAAACAAATACAAACTCTAATTAACACACAGTAAATTAAACAAATCAGTTGAATTTATAAATAGCGCACGTAAATAACTTATCAACCAACATAAACATTAGAAATCGAAATCGGGAATATTCCACTAATATTTACAATTAAGTCAACACAGGAGAAAGTAACAGCAAAGCAATTTTACATTTTGTTATAAGTATTTACAAAGCTTTAATAGTTTCACACAAATGTTTTCAAACTTAAAAATAATTAAATAGTTTAACAAAAATGCCTTTCTATAGGCTATATCAAGAGAAACTTATCAAGCCCACTTTCCCAATAGCCTCAGCTTAAAACACAAGCTTTCAATTGAGCACAGTACAGAGTAAATATCAAATAAAAGGTATTTCAATACGAACGCGACCAGTACTATATTTAACATGATTAGTTTTCAATTTTAAATTCAAAAAAACATTTGACACTACTTGAAAACGTTGAAAGAGCGTAGACGACGTGACATCACATTGGGTTAGGTCAGTTTTAAAGAACTCTATAGGTACCTACCATCGTCGTTTATAAAATATCAATAGATGCACCATAATTTATCAATGCCGATAAGGAATAACGATACCCAAAATAGCAGCAAAACGCCTTATCGTACAGGATCCAGTTTAGAGTCCAGCAATGTGTCTCCATGTAAACAAATTCTCACCTTATTCGAAAGCTATAACATCGAAATTACAATGCTTTACGCGGTGTATATAGTTGTTAAAATTTGTCATTCGCTCTGACGGTTTCATAGAATGATGAATGAGACGCTGCGGGGTGTGTAGGAACGCTGGACCAAAGTAACGTCGATCGGATAAAATATTCATAGAGCAACTACAAATACGGGTTTGAAACAAGCCATTGATTATGAAGTGCATGCTGCAAGAAATGCATCTCTCATTACTATGTATATTACTGTACGTACCATTTTGTTATAACGTAAGATTTTTTAATTACATCATATTGGCAAGTGCCTGGCAATTAATCTCTAGTGTAGGGTAGACTTAGAGCACAAAAATGCTCGCAGTTTCTAATTATTATACTCTATACCGGTTAGTGGCACGATCTCCTGTACCAATGTAAATCACAACCACTTAGTCATGATAGCAAATACAAGTTATATTTGGTGTTATAAATGATTCTTAAATACCCCCACGCGTATGCCTTACGCCCGCGTATATAGTGTTTTTTTTTAATAAGTATAACAACAGCGTATATCACTAAATACAATTTTCAAATTTACCTCAAGTATACCGATAACAGTTATCCACATATTAAATATACCTAAAGGTAAGCTAGGTACAATTATATAGAATAAAAACGATGGAAATTAAACAATTTAAAACAGCTTAATAAAATAACAGTAATAAAATTAAGTAGTTTTAGGTTTACTAACACTAAGATATTAGGTCTTACTGACAAATTGATATGTGATTTACTCCTTGAGTTAATTTTATAATTCATTTATTTATATCAAGGCAAAATATATTCTATATAAACACAACATACATATATACATACAAGTATACGTACACACCCATATATGTACATAAATATTTTAAAATATATAAATAGTCCACTTATTATTTAAACATAGCTACCTAAAGTAGGTAAGTGTTCTTCATAATGTACCTTACCGGCATCCTACGTTTACAAACAAAGGTAAAATAAACACAAGAAGCTGTGTTATGCATGTTTGTTATGTTATGTACATGTCCCAATCGAAAAATGTTTTTAAGCTGCAACATGAAAAGAGCTAAAAGAAGATAGCTAATGCAAATTATGTTCAAAAATATACATCAAAACGCAATATCACATTCTTCGTAACAGCCTTTTTTTGTAAGAAAATAAGTTCTCATTTGTTAGACAGGACAAGACAAACCTTTACATGAGCTTGGGTACAAAGCGTTCAAAAGATCAGGATAAAAAAAAGAATAAACGCCTAAATTAGTTTTATTCGATGTGTATATATTAAATATATTACGAATCATTAGCTGTTTTTATTACAAACTACTTAAAATGAGGTGTAATTTTAACAGATTTCACAACGGGTAAGTTAATTTGTTCGAAAAATGTAACGGTTAATGTTTCTTTATGTATTATTAGTTACATTTTGTATAAATTAGACAAATAAAAAAAAGAGTTAAAATGTGCAAAAACTTAAGAGCAAATCCAGAGACACTGTTTTGTGTACGAATATAAGTATCTAGAAACTAATAAACTTTTCATTGAAACTAACTTCTCAATTAAGTGACATTGTGTAACAAAAAAATTTCACCTCAATGCGAACTAGCGACATTTGATGAGCGGAATACAGGGTTATTATGGTGGCCAATTTTCGATATATCCATAAATAAACTTATATGTAAAACTCCGATACTAATATATTTATAGTGGTCGATATATCGAAATACCACTATTTTAAAAATATCATCAGTTTTAGTTTGAAATGATCAGTTGGAATGATCAGTTGAACTGACAGTGTGTGGGGTCCATTAGCCCTCATTAGCTAGATCTTGGCTAATAAACTTTTAACATATTTAATAAATGGATTTCCACAAACTAACCCCCCATTCTATTAATAAACTTTATTTACGGACAAACTGTTTTGCTTCATCGCATATAAAACGTACAACATGGAATAAATTTTCGGTTTAACCGTCTGGTTAGAGAGTAGGTGTCTGTCTTCAAGAGAAAAGTAAATAAGCTTTTTTAAGCTAGTCGATTTACAATCCAGAATTGCCTCACCATTTACTCTCAGATGTGAACGGGACCATAGTCAAGCATTGGTAATAATTTATTTAAAAAACTTAATAATATTTATTTTAGAATTTGTATCAGAGTATTTGTGTTCCTTACGAAATTAGTGAGCCGTTGAAATTCTATACAAAATTGGAAGGAAATACATAATATAATATGTAAACTTCCATTCTTGAGACGGACAATTTTATCAGTAAACAAGTCCACCAAAGCCAAACACTGATGAATTTAAATGTCGTCGAACTTGCAGAGACCGCCATGTTTGCTATAAAGTTCTGAGGAAAACAGGATCAAGTTATATATAAATAAAATACACAAGGAGTCCAGCGTTACCTCGACGGTTATAATACCCACTGAAACAAATCAATGTATTTACCGAACAAATATTTATATCTGGTGCCTAGTTTTATTTGAAATCTTCGTAAATTGATTATTAGCAGCCGATGTGCTGTGACCCGCTTATATTCCACAGATAACCTGAACACTATGAGAAGGACAAATCTGATTAGCTGTTATTATGTAGGTACATATTACGAATAGACGGCAATAATAATAGCACTTGCAAATCCCAAAACCTAATAAGCTATTAAAAACTGTCATAATTTCAAAAAATTTAACACCTTAATAAAATACTTCTTCATACGCTTATTCAAACACTATCTATTCTTTCGTCTATTGGAGGTTTAAAAGCAAGCTAAGAAAACATGCCAGGAAAGGTCAATTAATATAAGCCGCGAGCCGCGAAGTGATTATTCATATGCAATCATGCGACTCTACGTTTACTTAACAAGACATAATAACAGTATAACTAGACACCAGAATTAATCGTAACTAAATTAGCATCTGTCGGTCTGTCGACTTGGTAAGTAAGTCGGTTAAAATATTACTTTGTACAATATATTCGCAGAAAGCGAGATTTGCGTGTGTTATTTCAAACACGCAATGCAAATCGTCGCTGAAAAGGTGAAAAGCAAAGCTAGTAGGTGTCTTAGCTAAGGGCAGGCAGTAAACAGTAGACGCGGAATGCGCCGCTTTCCGGGAACCGGTAGCTTGTAACGCCCTCTTACTACCACCTTCCCAGGCTATGAGACTCAATAGCTATTTAAAATGCACACGTTAACT